AAGTTTTGCCAAGCTTTACAGCTGGGCTCATCCTTGAGATAAGCTTTATGTCTCTGGGATTTGTAGTCCAGAGCATTACATTTGGGGGCTCGTCCGGGATTGCAGAGGACTCAACTGAAACAGACTTGTCTTTAGGTTTTGTACTAGATCCAAGTTGGGGCGTGTTAGCCAGGATTTGTACTAAACCTAGTTGTGTTTTCTGTAGTGTTTTCTGTAGTGTTTTCTGCTTGTGCTAGGGAAAATGCTGCGTAAATTGTTTAGGAAAAGCAAGACTGTAGACGTTTTTGGTGTCCAGGAGGGGGCGGGCAACCTGCCTGCTTGGGCCAGAGAGAGTCAGTGGATGCCTTTTGCTAAGGAATTAGCTAAGTACTCATCTGCTTTTAGTAGGTCATGGAGTGGTAGAATTTCAGATGATTTAGCAAATTTTACCTTTGATAAATTCTGTTTGAGCAAAGCAGAGAAGAAGGCAGTGTCCTTACTTGGCTGGTACTTCCTTAATGCTCTCTCTACTGAAACAGAAAGAAGGGAGAAAGCAGAGGCAGAGGTTAAGGCATTAAAAGACCACCTAGCAGTTATCTCGGAGTGTGTACGTTCAACTGCTAGTTGGGCCGATGAATTGGAAGAGCGGTGTGCAGCCCTCATGACCAAATCAATTAATGCCTTAAGGAAAAAGAAAGGCCGTAGACCTGTTAGCAAAGCCAGGGTGCGTGCCATTGTCACATCCCATAACTGGGATCGTGAGGATGCGCTCTCCTCAGGTGATAGTGAGGATGAGGAGATTGCATTTGATATTACTGATGATGTTGATCACTCAGTGGGAAAGAAAAAGTGTGCCAGACCTCTTATTACTAAGCATAGGAAGAGGCAACATGATAGGGAAGATTTTGCTGATGGGGAGGTGCTTTACCGCAACCCCAGAGATGTTGAGATTGGAGTCTCAGGTGATAGTGAGGATGAGGAGATTGCATTTGATATTACTGATGATGTTGATCACTCAGTGGGAAAGAAAAAGTGTGCCAGACCTCTTATTACTAAGCATAGGAAGAGGCAACATGATAGGGAAGATTTTGCTGATGGGGAGGTGCTTTACCGCAACCCCAGAGATGTTGAGATTGAAGAATTAAGGGAGTCCGACCGACGTTGGGGTCCCTTAAAAATTTCCTTGGCCAAAAAGGGGTCACGAGTGGAGAAAGTTTAAGAAGGCCTGTACTAGAAAAGGATAGTGTAGTGGGTGCATGTGATAGTTTGTTTGTAGCAGCCTGTATGTCTTGTTTATGTACTTGATTTTCCTGTAACTAAGTTTGTACATGCAGCATTTTTGCCAAGTAAAGTACTTTTAAAAATGCTACTGGGTCAGTTTCCTTGAAGCTTTACTGCAAGAACAGACAACAAAAAGAAATTAAAGTTTTGCCAAGCTTTACAGCTGCGCTCATCCTTGAGATAAGTACGTCTCTGGGATTTGTAGTCCTGAGCATTACACCTTCACAGACAGTGTATGGCACAGATGCAGTACTGCCTTACAATGATGGCAGCCAGTTATAGCATTTGCCTGTTTTAAGACCTCAAATAGAGGATTATAAAAAAAAGGGTAGGTGCCCATTTTACAGCTCCCTAGTTTTTCTATTTCTCTAAGTGCTGCCCAAAATCCCAGGATCTCACACCCAGAATACAGTATGCAAGTGACTAGAGTGCACCATCCATTGAATAATGAAATTTGCTAGACTAGGTATAAGTATTCCTTGTGCAGCACGTTGAAGCAGCAATTCAAAGTATTTCCTGTTCATCTTTCTGTTATTTTGAAGCTTTTTTGCCAGAGTTTGCCAGAATAGCTATGGGCCTCAAGACAAACTTGTCCCCATGTAGGAGCCGTCAAGGCCGCCAATTTAGAGACATGACATACTGTGGTATCTGTCAGTCAAATGAAGCAAGTGGATAAAAAAAAACATTTCACTTTTTTTTTTCTTTTGCTCTTTGAGAAATTTACTGGGATTGTAAATTGCCATATTAGATTTTCTCATAAAATCATCTGCAGGAATAAGGGTTCTTTGCATTTGGTGTAATACACAAAGAAAGTATCTGGACACCCCTTTACACACAGCCTATGCTACATTACAGTTGACTGGAGGAGTATCTACAACTAAAGTGATGCTAAGATACCTTTTATCTCCCAGATAGTCTACAGCTTTCTCCTCTTACTACCACATTTTCAACAGTGACAGAAGACGTACAGCATGCAGAAAATATATTTTATGGTTGCTGTTAATTAGTCTGGTATGAAAACATCATAACAGTGTTTTGTGTTCATCAAAAAGATTTAAAGCTGAGGTAATGGAGAGCACATACCGTTTTCAGCATAATGTTTCTCCAATTTCTCATCCAACATCTTGCAGATTCCGTCTCCAAAGTTTTGGAGGATTTTTGCTTCCTTTCCACTGTGGAGGGGCAGAGGGTACTTCTTCAGCGAGCTAATGGCCTATAAAGACAAGGAGGTTTTGATAAGTAAATGTATATTATTATGTATTCACGTGTTATTTATTTCAAAATTAACTGTACAGTCAGCAATTCTAAACCATCTAGTCTTTGTGAACTGAGTACATTAAAAGTAAAGTATCAACACAAATCTTTACATACTGAAATAAAATATAAGGGACCTGCAGGTGACAAACACCTCCTTTTTATTAATTACCAGTCCTGGCATCTTCCACATGGGGCTGATCATACTGCTCCGTAGTATACATTTATGACTTTTTCCTGGTTCATGTGGAACATGCAGAATAGACACGTTCCATCTTGGCTGTGATGTGACCAAGTGGAAATGTTAAATCTGGCTCACTGCATTGCCTGAGCAAAAGATTCTTCCTTGTCTTGGTTAGCACTTTGGTATTCCATTTTACAACACCCAGCTACTATCTGGCCTGTCTCTCATTTGTCATGACCTACCTGTGACTCTCTCAAGCCAGGTACACATGGTATGAATTTTGGCCGCCTTCTGATGAAATTCGCACAGTGGGTGCCGCTGTTGGCACCCTTCTGCCTGACATCCCTCGATCAGCTGATCAAAGGAGCCTGTTGTAAAATTCTTGCCAGAAACAGAGCTGGCAGCCAATCAGCTGCATGATCCGTTAGGGTATTCTGACGGCGGCCGGTGGCCACTGTGAGAATGCAATGCAAAAACCGGGAGATGGAGGAATCTGTTCTATAGTTTTCCTTCAGCCCACAGGTTAAATGAAAACCTTTAAAAGAAGAAAAAAAAAAAAAGAAATGTGTACCTGACTTGACAAAGTTGTCTGCCCGACATGCTGCCTGTGTGAGAACCCAACATAAGCACTACATACCCTGACGGTTTCCAGTTTATATATTTCACCCTCGTCTGAAAAATTTGTATCCCATCAGTTCATCTCCTATCTCTATTAGCAAAGTCCAAATCATGTGGGGGGTGGTCCCTAGTGAAAATTGACCACCCACTGGAAACAAATAACTTGGATTTTCAATAAAAGAAAAAAAAAAGGCCGCTCTGCAGTAGTGAACCCCCTTCATCCCATTAGCTTTGATTTGCTTTTAAAGAATTCTGTCTGCGTTTCGGAAATCCATTGATGTGAACAGGACAGATGTGTGAACGTATGAATAGGTATTTCCCACCTTTATATGATGCATGAGTGGGTAGATTTTGTACTTGCTGCAACAAAGTAGTAAAATGGGGTCATAGGACGGCATGGAGCTTTTTGGCATCTTAAAGTGACTAAAGTCAGGAGTTAATTTGAGGATCTACACCAGAGTCATACACAAGTAAAATAGATTTTTATTAATGGGTAAGGGACTTGAATGCATTTTTATGATGTAACTCCAGAGTTAAGTGTCCCTTTGAATTTACTAAAAAGGACAACTCAGCAACAACTCTTTTACTGCTAAAGTGGGACAGTGAAGAGAAAGTGAATCGTCGGGACATGTCTGTTCAGCATGTAAAAGCTTACTCTGTTGGCTGACAGTGCTCCACAATGAACATCTTTTTTCAAGTGCAAAGAATGTTGATACATCCCCAGCCTCAGTTTTTTTATGTCCTGTATTTGTACTGCAGAGGCCTCACAATATTCTATACATTTCAATTTCTCTACACTGTCTCACTCTAGCAGTAAAAATGTTGTTACCTTTTTAGCACATTCCAAAAAGCTCCATCCCATCCAATCACCCCTCTTACCAATATGTTGTGTGGGGTACAAACTTTGCACATCCATGGATCACATAAAGGTGAGGGCATCTAAAATACACATGACTCCCAGGAGGAAGGGAAAATCTGACATATATATATATTAATTTAGTCCGTTACAAAAAATCCTATGTAAAAGAATTCCCCTGAAAATAATTTGTCGAATTTCATAATTTGTCGACACTTACAAGGCTTGTTAGCTGGCACAGACTACAGTTCCTCAGGGCTTGCTGCATCTTTTGTATTCACCACGCCTAATAAATGTAACCATATGACAGCAATACAAATCCAGACACAAATGATAAATATATGCTGTTTAGGTTTGAAGGCTGCATTCCTGCAATGTTTTTTCTATGCAGTATGCATATAAAATTGAAAGGAAAGGCTATTTGATATTTTGTAGGAATGGAAAATGGCATTTCGTGAATTTTCATGTTCACGTAGTTCATAATAGCACAATTGTAATTGAAACCCTAATTACCTTTTTTTTCCCAAAATTGCAACGATGGGTGCACCAAAAGGTTTTCAATGCCCTACCTTTTATATATAAGTGTAAGCATTCCCCACTGCCACTAATACAGCCTATTCCCTACCATAAGCCTGCAGCTAAGGACTGCTCCTCTCACTGCAGCAGTCAAGAACACCCCTTGCTGAGTCAGTCCAATAGCTTTGCAATCAAAAAATCTCACACTCCCTGCTGATTGCAGCGCTAGGAGTCTAAAGGTGCCCATACACTTTACAACCATCGCAAGACCTTAGTCTTGTGATGGTTGCAAAGTAATTAAAAAAACCTACGATCTGCCCATCTTGGACAGGCAGATCGTTCTTGCGATCATCGCAAGCCCGCCCCCCTGAGGAGCGGGCTTCCGATGACCGCAATGCTGAACGGGCAGTGTGCGCGTGCGCACACCGGCCCGTTCGGCATTTGTCTCCCGAGCATCATTTAAACCAGCCGAAAATCGTAAGATTTTCGTCTGGTTTTCTAGCATGCTCCTTAGACAAAAGACGTGCGACCGTACAGTAGAAACGGTCCCACGCCTTCATTCACACTGCACGATTCTCGTACAAGAATGTATGGGCACCTTAAAGCTGACCATACACCTTACAATTATCTGCAGATTTTCTGTGGTCAGATGAAAAAGGTGCAACAGATTCCTTAATCTACACTTAACTGTGTGGATCGAGTAATCTCCACCTGGGCCAATCTGTTGCCCTTTTTCCATCTGACCACAGAAAATCTGCAGATAATTGTAAGGTGTATGGGCATCTTAACTCAGCAGGGTGTTGTGTCAGAACACTAGAGAGAGAGCAGAGGTCTGTAGTAGCATTCCAGTGGCAAGGAATAGGCTGTATTAGTGGCAGCGGGGCATTTTTTTACACTCGTATAACAGGTGAGACAATGAAAACCTGTCATTTTGGTGCACCCTGAAATGTGGGGTGCAGTTTTTGTAAAACAGTTCACTTTGGACTTTAAAGGCTAAATGTACTTTTCTGACCATGTTCCACTCATATTCAGGGTGTAACCTGAAAGGGTCACATCACAACCTCCCACTTACCTGAATCATGGGGGTCTTCTCCCTTCAGGCTGTTTTTTTTTAATTTGACAGGATCTGTGAATGGAGGAACTTCAAGTCCCATCAGCCACGGTGACAGAGGAACTTGTAATTCCTAATGGAATGCAAGTGTGGTGACATCAACGCACTTGCAGTCCAGTCATTCTTCTTCCCATCCATGTTACTCGATGTCCATACCTTGGTACAGACATGGATGGGAAGAAGAGTTTGCAGGAGCTAGAGAATTGCACCTGTGATCCACTTATCATGGTTGCAATACTTTACTGGCTTCAAGGCAAACAAAATAATAAAATGTAAATTTTTGTTTTTATGAGTGACGTCAACGCACTTGCAGTCCATACATTCTTCCTCTTGTCCATGTTACTGAATGTCTGTACCGTGGTATGAACATAGATGTGGGGAAGAGTCTGCAAGAGCAAGCGGATTGCACCCATGATCCACTTATTGAATTTGCAATAGATTACTAGCGCCAATGCTAAAAAATAATAAATGAACATTTTTTCTTTTATGAAGAAGTGTGCCTTAATTATTTTTTTTCTTAAAAGGGGGACTTTCCCTTGTTTTAAAAAAACCCAGATATGAATTTAGCACAGTAAAGATTCATAATTACATTTGCTACACTCTTGCAAATAAAGGCTACCAATTTATATCTGTAAGTGTTATAGTTATTACTATATGGTAACAATTAAAAAACATTTGCTTATATGTCAACTGTAATGCTTTTATGTGCAACCTTTATACACATTTGGGAGTACAAAAATTTTTTTCCATAACAAAATCATAATAAATGCTGTTACTGAATTCATTACAATGCACTTGGGTAGCGTCAAATGAGACAAAAAAAACCCCCCCGCAACAATGCAAGCTACATTAAACAACATTGGTGCCTTTATATATTTACAGGCAAATGTCCCCAAATAAAAACTGGAATTCATCTATAATGTTATAAAGACATGTGATTCTCTTGGTAAATAGGATAATGGTATTAAACACAGATAGCACAAATTACAAAGAGGCAGATTAATGAAAACTGACGCTCAGAACAGTGAACCTACTACTCATGGCAGCCAATCAGGATAAACATTCACATTAACATGGAAAAATACAAAAAATAAACTAACAGTCCAATTTGAACAAAAGTAAGAAAGCCCAGAGAGACCAGTGCCATACAAAAATATAAATAGATGAAAACAAGTTTTATACAATCTGACAAATATTCATGTCTTACCATAAGTAAATGAAGCATCCATTTTAAAAAAAAATCCAGACATATCTACTCTGCATAAGGAAACATGCACATGGAGCTATTTGAAGTGCCTTGGTTCTGGTAGCTTTTACAAATAACATGAACAGCCTTGCTGCAAATACTGTGGCACAAGCACTGCAGGAATATAAAGAACGCACTGGCTTTGTGTGTTTTTTGTTAAAGTCAAGAAACAGCATGACACTGCGCAAACCACTAGCGGCTGTCACTAGAAGTGGCCTAAGATGCAGGGTGTTTACATACAACTTTGCTCAGCTCTTTATGAAAAAACAAACATCTATGTGTGCACTCTTTTAATCCTACTTTAGTTATATCCTCAGTCATTAGGATTTGTTAGCTAATACAATATTGTCTTTAGTTTCTTTGAGGTATATTTATACATTGCTGAGCTTTTTTTCTTCATGACTGTTAATTCTCTAGGATCCGCGCCTTACCAGCAGCACAATATATTTGGATCTTCTCAAAAGAGCTCAGGGGCAGCATGTTGCTTAGATCAATCTGTAATTAACCCATCTGTGCTTATGGGTGGACATCCAAAAACATGCACTGCTTATGATCACTGCAGGTGATGGTAATATCTGAAATAAGTCTGGTGTACCTCTCATTAAAAAATAATATATGTGTGTATATATATATATATATATATATACACATACATACATACACACACATACATATACAGTTTCAATAATAACCAGAATAGAAAAGTTCAGCTATCACCAGTGATTTGTGTTTCACAGTATAGTTTGGAAGCTTTAGATACCTACCTGTACTGCATATGAGCTATAAAAAGGAAAAGTGACACTTGCTGGCATATGCTCTGCTCACAGCCTTCCCACTTAATTTCCAGTTCATTAAACAAAATACTGAAAATAGTAGATGATTCCAGATTTAAATAAAAATAACTTTATAGTGATGTCAGATGGGGGCACTTCCAGTGACATGTCAGGTGATTTTAAAAAGAACCTTGAAAGCTCTTACCAGCAAGTCCATGATATTCACAGACTTTCTCTACTAAACGACAGTAATTAGCAATGAGAAGAGAAGGTTTCATGAACAAATGTACTTTACGGCTTACCTTTTGATATACAAACTGTGTTTTCAAGCCTTTCTCGGCAGCAGAATCTCGACACTCTGACAGCCATTTCAGGAAGAGAGGATTTGGACAGGGAGGTAGAGGACGTTTGCGTCCGAATGTGACTGGACCTGGCATCATCTAGCCTTGAAAAAGTTTCAGCTATATCCTTTGCATTTTCTGCAGAAAGAGTGATACATCAAACATTATTTTACAATGACTAACAATGTCAGAGATTTACATAAATATACACCACATCAGATATGGGAGGCTGATGCTTCTTTAGCTATAAGGATACGCAAATATTTATACTTGTGTGTGGTTTCCACATGGTGAATTTGCTACATGGTGGCAGCACCAACAACTTTAAAACCACAGAAATTAGGGAACCCCTAATGGGATTTTAATGCCAACCAGGTCCCCATTAGGAAGATATTCCCTCACTTACTGTCCTGGAGACAACAGTTTCACCAAACAAGAAGTGATGTATACTTATTCATTTGGTCCCAAAAACAGAATGTATTACAGACATAATGAAGCTTATTTTTGGTGCACTCAGCTGTTGCAACCAAATAACTGCATATATGCAGCTCTGCACGCTGATATTAACCACTTGAAGTCCGGGGTGTTAAACCCCATTCCCATCCAGGCCATTTTTCAATATTCAGCGCTGCGGTACTTTGACTGACATTTATTCCGTCATGCAACGCTGTACTGAAATTAATTTTATACCCTTTTTTGGGGACACATAGAGCTTTCTTTTGGTGGTATTTATTCACCACTGCGGTTTTAATTTTTTTAACTATATTAAGGAAAATTTACAGAAATTTAAAAAAACAAAAAAATGTTTCCCTTATATTAAATTCTAAAACATTTATTATTACCCAATTTTTTGGTAAAATATAAAAGACGGGGTCACGTCAGGTAGAAAGACACCAAACATGTCAAGCCTTAAAATAGCGTGCGCGTGCGGAACCTTTAAAAAACTACATTACCAAAATAGGCCATAGGCGACGCTTTAAAAGCTTTTACCGCTCATCAGTTTAGTGTTATCAGTGATTGATGGCACTAAAAGGATTGCTCTCACTCCGACGTTTACGCGCATACGCGTATATACGCGTGTTTGTGCGCGTATATGCACGTACGTGCGTACAGTTCACTAAAATTTCTATTAAGAATGATGCATTCTGGGATTGCATATAGTGCATGCATATACGTGCATGTAGGCGTATATACACAATATACAATTTTGCTCTTGCGTTGTGTGTGAATATGGCCTAAGTGATGCAATACAGGCATCACAGATGCTTCCTGAGAAGGCTACATCATCAGTGCATTGCTAGAAAATCTCATATGTAATCTGCAAAATCTTGCAAGCTCTCAGGGGAAAGAGCATTTTTCCCCCCCTGAGATGATGTGCACTGTCACATGTTCCAAGATCCACCCTGTCTGCTAGGGCTGCTGCTAATGATTATTTTCATAATCGATTAGTTAGCCGATTATTAACTTTGATTAATTGGATTTAAAAAAAATAAAATATGCGGCGATACCTGACATGTGTAGCGCAATCCTCGCTTTTCTATGTAGGTGTAACTGACTGTGTTTCTGTTAGTATACACGCGTTTGCAGGGTTGGGGGATTTTTAATGTTATTTTTTACATTTTGGCTTTACCTCATTGCTATCACATGGGGGACTTACAAGCCCCCTATGTGATGGCACATTGAAGGAGACAGGTTCTCATTAAGGTGACATTAGGGGTCTTTTAGACCCCTAGTGTCACCTTTCCACTTCACTGGATTCAGCTGCTGAGGCAGCTGAATTTAAATACAGCAGGCAGTGGCTGGGAGCAATAGCCAGCCTCCTATTGGATATTTTAAACTCCAATAGCCAATAGCTGTCAGGATGCCAGGGGCGTCACCTCCCCACGAGGTCAGAGGGTACGGCACAGACCTCCCTTCAGCCTGGCAGACCCAAGGGCGCTCCGGCAACCACTACGCGTGCGCCAGCTGCGCGCCGGGTGCAGTACACAGGCTGCGCGGGCATCCCGGGGCCGTGCGTGCAACGCGCGTGCGCCTCTTTGAGCTTAAGTTGTAGCCTTGCTGGGGGAGGTTCCCCAGCCCACACACACACACCTTTTGCATGCCATTGGCCCTCGGGAAGGGAAGCCTCCTGGTCGCCTCTGAGACCGGGGGGCGGACTCACACCCCCTGGCTATAAAAACCTGGCCAGAGCCCTGGCTCAGTGCTGAGTTATTCCACCACATGGTGTGACATACAAAGCTCTCATCCTATGTGCCTTGCTGCCTGTTACCTGAACCCTCTGCTGACTTCCCGTGTAACGACCTTGGACCGACTATCACCTCTGACCCTTTGCTGCCTGCCTCGACCTCGGATTGCGCTCGACTACCCCTTTGGATTGCCCTTTTGTTATCTTATCCAATAGTAGGCTGGCTATTCTTACAAGTGTCCGCTCCTTATCCACTTCATTAAACTGTTTCCTTTTGGTTATATATCTCAAAGTGTCAGCTGTCCGTGCTCCTTATTTGTTTAATAATGCACTCACCAGACGTGACCAGAAGTTTTCGCTCTCAATGAAATAAGGGAAGGTCCATTCTGTGTGTTCACGGAGGAGGAGAGGAAAGAAGCTGTAAATCTTGACTACACACAGAACGGAACTTCCCTTCTTTGATTAAGAGCGAAAACGTCTGGATACGTCTGGTGAGAGCATTATTAAACAAATAAGGAGCACGGACAGCTGACACTTTGAGATATATAACCAAAAGGAAACAGGTTAATCAAGTGGAAAAGGAGCGGACACTTGTAACACTGTGAGCTGTCTTAACGGACGGACGTAAGGTTGGAGGAGCAGCAGCAGCGGAGGTACAAGGTGGGGGGCAGCGGGGGATTTCAGAGTCACCGGCCGCAGTGTCTTCTCCCCTCTCGTGCCGGCTAGAGCAGTCTGTGAAAGGGACACAGACCGTTTTGCCAGCACCAGCAGGGAGCAGAAACTGCGGCCGGTGACTCTGAAGTCCCCCGCTGCTCCTTCCTCGCACCTCCGCTGCCAGCAACTAAATAAAAAATCAACTAAACGATGATGGGAATAGTTGCCAACTATTCTCATCATCGATTTTAATCAATTAGTTGTTGCAGCTCTACTGTCTGCGTCCAAGTACGGACACCCGCACAGATGTGCAGCTCAGGTGAGCATACGACAGCGTAAGGCCGCGTCCTCCCATAGGGAAGAACAGGCTGCTGCGTACAATCACACGCAGCATCTGTCCTTCCTGGGAACGGCCCAATACAGCTGTGCACGCCGCACGTATCTGTACGGCCCCACTCTTCGCTGTGTGAATGAGGTCTAAGCAGTGAAGGGTGTAGTTTAGGTTGTACCTGTAGGTTGGCTATTAAGACATACTTAGGTACTTTTTCAAAATAGTATGCACCGCCACGCCACCTCCCACCCCAACACAAAGTGAGCCGCCGGCCTCAATGCGATCCAGTGTGTTCCTGCTCTAATCGGGCACTGTGAACTAGCCTTCAAGCTTCTTTGGCCAAAAACAAGCAATTGAGCAACTGATGCTAAAGAATTTAGAAGTCCTGACCTAAAATCTTATACTATATCAGTGGACACAAAAAAACAGTAGAGCCAAAACATCAGCATGACAGGCAATGGGTAGGCAGAAGAGGCACCATCAGCAGGGGATGGGAAAGGGGGTGGGCACTACCACAGACACTGTGCAAACACAAATCCACCTATAGAGAGGAGGCTTGAGCCATTTACTGGTGTTACTAGGCCCTCGAACCAACATTGAAATACTTTTAGCGTAAACCTACCATAGATCTGGGCAGTTCACTCGGGATAACAGTATGAAAAACAGATACATATGGAGATGTTAACTTCAAGGAAAACCTCACATAAGTACATCTGCAGATATAGGCATCTTCATCTCTATGAATAAGCCTTCGGGTGAAACATGAAGAGGTTGTAGTTGGTTGGGGGTGTGCAATGCTGGCATTTGTTGCTTTATACACTTTTATTCACTGATATACTGGATTTGCTGTGAATTTCAATAAATTCTGCAGTATTGGAATTCTCTGGATGGTGCGGCCTGTTCGTATACTGCGGCATTCTAGGGTGGAGACGCACCTATTGGACCAGCACCTGGGGAGTCCTGATGGTGGCTAAGGAATTGGAGCGGTGAGATTTCCTTTGGCTCTACATAGGCATTTTCATATCATAGTTCAGCTTGGCCATAATCTCTCTTCTCTCCAAAACCTACCTATTGGTTATTGAGGCTGGCTATCATAATAAGAGACCAATAGAGAGGCTGACGCAGATAGGATGAGGTTGATATTCACAGGAAAAGAAAGATTTGCACATATGTGCTGTATATAAGTGTGTGTGATATATATAGTTTATGAGAGTGTATACTACGGGTGAAGTAAATTGTTGTGAAGCATGTATAGTGCCAGGGAATAGAGGTAGATGGAATAGGTTTTACCCGGGCTTATAGCATAGCATCCCTTTTCCAGAAGAGCTACCATCAGTGAGTTGTGTTCACCTAAATTACCAGTGCAAGGGTTATATACTATCCATAGAACCACTAGTGGGCACTGTCATGAAAAAATAATTATACATATAATATACAGCAAATTTGAATTAAAATCAGCAGTTAGGCATTTTGTTTTTCCATGATTCCACGAGTTATGTGAAAAGAAAGCACCCATCTTTCATCTATAATATGTTTCCAATGTGTTTGGGCAAAGAAGGTTGCAAAAAGGACAGGCATACCTTGCTTCCCATTGCATTTTATGCTGCTTAGACAGCAGCTTCTTGCATTAAATAGGAATGTGAAATAGAGCACTCTATGCTGAATGTTAGGCTGGGTTCACACCTAGGCGTATTGAATATGCGAGATTGTGGCCCTCGGAAAAACGCCCGTTTCCGAGGGCTACTTGGCTGTATCCCAATGGAAACGCGAGACCAAATCGCCCCAAAGAAGTACATGTACTTCTTTGGGCGTAGGCCGTTTTGTATCGTGTTCGGACGGGCGGAATGTTTGAGCGTTTTGTAGAGCGTTCGTCGAGCGTTGAACGCGCTACAAAACGTTCAGGTGTGAACCAGGCCCTACTCTACCTTCCTGCAGCAGTATATTTTATCTGCCTCATCATAACCC